CTCGTCTCGTCGTTACGTGAAACAAAAGCGTCATGTGCATGGAGGAACTTGTGTTGAATTGTAAATGGGGTTGGTGATGGTGTAATTAGTGTGGTTTGTAGCCTTATTACTATTGTTTTTGGTAATTTTTTCTTTGCTTTTTGGGACTTATGTTGCAAGAAATAAGCGTGTGGGGAAACCAAAGGGGGCCCGTGCGTTGTTGTCTAGTATGCAAGATGTGAAGTTGTTATAAGAGGAATATGCACTAGGATTGCGTATATTATGGGTTGTGATGATTAAGGAAAAATTAGATCCGAGCCTTAGTGGCTGAGCGGCCCCACTGTTTTCTCATTTTTTTACTTTACTTGGAATTGAAAAGTTACTATTTTTAGGATTTGGATCTGTTTTTTTATTTCCTACATGTAATTGATTTGCTAAAATGATGGGTTAATATCATGAAAAATCTCAAACTGGTATATCTATGACAAATTTATCATAAACTAATTTTTTAACTACCAAAAACCCCAAACTGATACACATATCACAAATTTACTCTCCGTTAGTTTCCGTTAAATTTTATCATCAAATTGTTGAATTGAGTGACACGTGACAGTTGACAGTTATACCGATTTGAGGTTTTACCCTTCGATTGTCACAAGTATATCAGTTTGTGATTTTTCGCCGTATTAATCCAATTTAACGGAAACTAACGGAAAGTAAATTTGTCACAAGTATACCAGTTTAAAATTTTTTGTGGTATTAACCCTAAAATGAATGAAAGGTAGATAGTTAAGAAGTTCAATGTTATTTTCAGTTGAAGTCAATATTAATTATTTTCTATTGAATACGGTATCACCCTAAAGCAATTAAAAACTTGTGCTAAAAGAAAGCAATTAAGAGTGGAATAGCTTCGAATGACATAACGTATAATCGAAACATAAGTGAGACATTCAACATCACTACACATAAATTATATCATCTACTTGTATCATGTATATTGGTTTTTATTTCGCAGATGCTGAGATTAGTAACTTTTATTCAATCTTATACTTACAAATCCTCCACTAACTTATTGACATTGCTAATCAATCACAGTCAAGGAAATAAAAGTAAAAGTATTGGTAATAAGTTCGTCGTAGGACGATTAGCAAATTCTTTCGAGCAATGCTACATTTGTCATGCCCAAATAAGCAACCAAGAGAGGGTGAATTGGTTCTTCAAGAGAACACAAGCTAATTTTGTAGAGCCCACCGCTATAAAAGTTCTACTCCTGTCCACAAAATGGACTAGCAATATAAGCATAAAAAATTAAAGAGTTTAGGGAAAGAGAAATTGTAAACAAGATTTATTGAGATTTGACTCAGGTGTGCTACTTCTCTTATAGGCCAAATTCCACTAATACCATCTGATTACCAGTGAGTAACTTCTTGTTATGCAAAATCTGACCTCCTTTAGCAACCCCACTATAGACTAAGTAATTATTAGACCTCTCATAACCTTGTAAACACAGCACAGTAGATCATCTCCTCAAACTAATTACAACTCAAAGTTTGACTTTGTCTTTGACTTAGACAAATGCATTCGCTCTAACTATAATCATTTTTCTCATGTGTCTATAAATGGGTTTGTGACTCTTGCTAACTCTTAAGAGCAACACTCAAATGGATTTTATAATCTTGCAAAAGACATGGAATCAAGAACATCACAACGCTGCTCAAATTCTCTTATTTTTGCCCTTCTCAACCGTATCAGATTTGCCCGAGCAATCTCCAATTTATAGAGCTCCAAATTCGAGTCTAAAAATTGCTAACGCCACAATCTGACTTTCTTCTACGGCAACCCCGCTATAGGTTAAATAATTATTGGACCCTCCAATAGTCGTTCTCACATGCTTGTGCTTACAGTACGGTAGATCCTCTTTGCAAATTATTAACCACACCTCTAAATGTATAAAAAGAGTCCCTTGCACATTTTGTCTCTTAGGTAGATAAATGCCTTCACTCTAAAGTACGACACTTCCCTTATTTGTTTTAAAATGGGTTTGTCACTCTTGCTAGCTCTCAAGAGCAATACTTAAATGGGTATTACAAGCATAGAAAAATAAAAGGACTCAAGACCTCTCAGCAACGCTCAAATTCTTTTATTTTTGCCCATTTCACCTAGCTTAAATATGGCCAAGTTTTCTCCATTTTGTAGAGCTACCAATTCATACATAGTACCTGGATCATGACCTACCCCGCTCTCTAGCTCTAATAACCTAAATCAAGGTTGGAATCCACTATGTAGAGATGTGATAGCGTCTAAAGATGCTTCATCCTACTTGTAGCTCTGCTTCTGATATAAGTAATCCTCATTAGCCTAAACACTTTCTTCTCTCATGAGAGATGCTCAGATTCTATAGATAAATACAAACGTATTTATACAACTTCTATACACAAGAACAACAAGAAGATGAACACTCGGAGCATATAAACTAATTTCTGTTCATTTCCCTCCGACTCTACTACTTCTTTTGACTAAAATTTATAGCCATGAGACCTCAAAGGACATTTGAAATCCAAATCCCACGAGTAAACATTGGTTTCGCCATTAGCAATTGCAAAACGTCACTCTGCAGCTTTGTAGTAACAATTTCCTAACATAGTTTTGCATCTGTTGCTGTCTGTCATCCTCTGCTACCTATTTATATATGCTAAATTGTTTTAATATTCTCCAGTCCACTTTTTGTGTATTCTAGCGCCTAGGACAAATTATAAATCACCAATTTGAAATCAAATCAAATTGATTAAGGGTGCGGTTGTTTCACAAAAAATGAGTGATTTGAAAAATATTTTCCGAGAAATTATCATTTATATCGTTTAGAAAAATAGGTGAGTGGAAAAAATTTTCATCGCCCATAAAAATAGTTAGGCATAGATTACTATTGATGATGAAAATATTTTGTATTGACTAATTTTTTTAAACAATATAAGCAATCAGCTTTTGGAAAATATTTTCCAAATAACTCATTTTCCACGAAACGAACGCACCCGAAGAGTGTGGTCTTCCATCCAAGATTGTAGAGACTCATAGTAGAACCATTATCCTGTTTGTAGTGAGAACACCTTCTTGTAGTTAATTCCATCCAAGTTTCTATGGAAAAATTGTCCAAAAAGTCTTAAACCTATTGTACGGCAGCCAATTCAGTCCTAAACCTTTCAATTTTGCTAATTCAGTCCTAAACTTTTTAAAAAGTTATCAATTCCGTCCTAAACCTATGACTATTTACCAATTTAGTCCTAAACCTTTTAATGAATTGCTAATTTTATCCTTTCAGCTAATTTTGGCCAGAAATCGCTGACGTGGCGGTCCAGTCGGCGCCAGATGTCTTACGTGGCACTAACGTGGATAATTTTATTTTTTAAAAAAAAATTGAATTTTTTATTGATTTTTATCGATTATTTTACTTTTATTCTTTTTTTTTTCTCTTTCTTCTTCGTTGAGCTCGCTGGCAGAGGGCCAGCGCAGGTGGTCGGCCACTGGACGACAGCCAACGACCCCCGTCGGCCACTGGGCGACGGCCCTCGCCCCCCCTCGCTATGGCCAACGGGGGCTTGGGCGAGGACTCTTGATGCCCTCGCCAGCCGCAGCGAAAGCTTGCAAGCCGTCGCCAAATCCGGCGAGGGCCGCGACGCCTTCACCAGATCTGGCGAGGCGAGGGCGTCGTGGCCCTTGCCCAGGCCGTCGCCGGCCACAGCGAGGCGAGCGATGGCTCGTGATGTCCTCGCCGACCGTAGCGAGGACTCGTGACCCTCGCCAAATCCGGCGCAACAAGGACTCGCGATATCCTGGTGAAGGCGTCGCAGCCCTTGCCCAAGCTTTCACTGGTTGCAGCGAGGGCAGGCGAGGGCCGTGACACCCTCGCTGTGGCCCGTGAGGGCCTGGGCGAGGGCTCACAACGCCTTCGCCCAGATCCGGCGAGGGCTTCGTGGCCCTCACCCAAGGCTGGCGGGGGTTACCGGCCATCGCCTAGTGGCCAGCCACCTCCGCCAGCCCTTAGCCGGCGAGCTCAATGAAGAAGAAGAAAGAGAAAAAAAAAAGAATAAAAGTAAAATAATCGATAAAAAAATTCGAATTTTTTTAAAAAAATATAAAATTATCCACGTCAACGCCACGTACAGCCAGCGCTGGCTGGACTGTCACGTCAGCGATTTTCGGCCAAAATTAGCCGGAAGGACAAAATTAACAATTCATTAAAAGGTTTAGGACTAAATTGGCACAATTGAAAGATTTAAGACTGAATTGACAACTTTTAAAACGGTTTATGACTGAATTGGCGAAATCGAAAAATTTAGGGCTAAATTGGCCGCCGTACAATAGATTTATGACTTTTTGGACAATTTTCCCAAGTTTCTACATACCCAAGCTTGTTATCCTTCTACATTTAAGTACCTTTGAACATGAAAAAAGCACTATAGGGATTTTTCCTATCGTGAAAAAGCTTTTACTCGAAGACTACAAAACTTTGAGTAGAAGTTCTATTATCAAATTTTGTGACAAATATATGCATTGAAGATACTTTTGGATGGACTTTAGGGGAGAGAGAAAGAGAGCTATCTCTTAATTAATTTGATTTGATTTAAATCAAACTAATATAAATTTTTCCTTACCAAAAAAAAAATATAAATTTGGGGTTTTTTATGACACAAAAATTTTGTTTTAAGTATTTGTGTCGTAATGGTTAAGTTTAGATTTTTTAGTAACAAAAAAATCGGGATATATGTGTCATAACAGGTATAGTTTGGTGTTTTCTATTGTATTAATCCGAAAAGAAAAAAGAAAAAGGAGGAATTTTAGGCTGAAATAGTCGGAGGGTTCTACTTCTAGTCCGGCAAGACCCTTGGCCTCTTTGACTTTGACCGTCTCTCAGACAGAAATCGGCCACAAAATGCCAAAATTGGAGCGACCATTCATCGTGTCGCTTCCGCCGCCACCTTATTCTCTTTCGTTTTCTTCGTCGTCGTCTTCTACTTGGCAACGTGCGCAACAAATCCGCTCCTTTGCTCCTCCCAGTTTAGAATTGTTTTTTATTGAAGCTGTAACTGCTGCTACTACTACGCTGCATACTCTGCAACAAACCAATCAGCATGGCGAGAGAAAGCGAACGCGAGTGTCTGTGCTTCGATCTCAACACGGGTGCTAAGGTCCCGTCCGTCGGCCTCGGGACCTGGAAGGCTCCTCCTGGCGTCGTCGGCCAAGCCGTTGTCGAGGCCGTCAAGGTTCCCTCTCCTCTCCTTTCCTCTCTCTACCTTTCATCACGGTCCGAATTGATTTGTCCATGGACGATGTTGCTTCAACATTCCTCGTAATGCAGGCCGGTTACAGGCATATCGACTGTGCCCGCGTTTACGACAATGAGAAGGAGGTGAACTGGGTTTCTTTCCCATTGTTTTTTGATTCGCCTTGAGTATGCAATTGTTTATGTAGTTGAAAAATAATTAATATTACAGATAGGCGTGGCGTTGAAGGAGCTATTCTCCACAGGAGACGTGGATCGAAATGAGATGTTTATCACATCCAAGTTGTGGTATGCCTTCATTCAGCCTCTGTCTTGAGACATTATTTTTCATTTCTGTGGTTTGGAGTTGTTTCAAAGTTGCAGAATTTGTCTAAATCATTTGTTTTACAGGTGAGCCGTTATTATTTCTCGTGACTTCAGATTGATTGCAAAAAAATGAAAGAAAAGTTCTGATGATGCAGAACAGCCCATAATTTTTCACGTCTATAATTTCAAATTTAGTTTTTCAAACCACAGCAATCATGGGTTCCGAATCCAAGATTTTTCTAAAAACGAATGGTTTTAACTTTTGGGCCTTGTGACTTTGGTTTGGATTGCTATTTTGTTTATTTATGTACCGCTACAACATTTAAGTTTCAGATTGATTACAAATGCAGGTGCAGCGACCATGCGCCTGAAGATGTTTCCAAGGCTCTAACTAGGAGCTTACAAGACCTGCAACTCGACTACGTTGATTTATATCTTGTATGTTGTTTTGGCACAAGCATTTCCAATATTTGTTTGTGCACTGACTTTAAATTAGTCAATTGATTGTAGATCTGGAATTTGGCCATTCCTGAGGAGCTTGATCATAGCCAAAGTAGAATATTGCATAGCTTTTTTGTGCAGTTCAGGATTGAGATTGGAGAGTAGAAGCTTCTCATTTGCCAATTTTAAAGTGAAAAAAAGGAAAACTAAAATTCTAGTAGAGGCTGATGCTGAGGTTCGGGCCAAAGGCCAAGAGTGAAGCTGACATAGTGCAGATGTTTCCTATCATAATGATGATGCTTTTTACATTAACTCATTTTCTTGTTTTCTTTGCTGTATAATAGATTCACTGGCCTGTGCGGACGAAATCCGGTACTCGAGGCTTTGCCCCAGGAGACATGGTTCCTCTATGCCTTCCCGAGACATGGACGGCTATGGAAGGGTTGTATGCATCAGGTCAGGCTCGTGCAATTGGAGTCAGCAACTTCTCAACTAAAAAGCTGCAGGATCTCCTCAAATATGCAAAAGTGCCTCCAGCTGTTAATCAGGTCGAATGCCACCCTGTTTGGGAGCAACCAGCACTCCACAACTTGTGCAAATCTACTGGTGTCCATCTCTCGGTAATCTCCGAAAAATTAAGATTCTCAAAACTCTCCCATTTCATTTCAACTTCTCATTAAAATTACGTTTAGAATATCGGAGGATGTGAGTCATCAAGTAGTAGTTGGACAATGTGGGTTGGTTGGCGATTGGCAATGGTATATGTCTCACCTACGATGCTTTGAACCTGATGTTAACAGTGCTAGCCGGAGTAGGCTAGTTGCCTTCGTGATGGCCTATGTTGTCGTGACCATTGGCAATGATGGTTGCAGCTGCTGGCAGACTATGGTCACTGGTGTGATCATCGGTTGATCATGGGAGGAGCAAAATAAAAGTCAAGCTAGTTCTACAAGACGTCTTTTGATCATGGAAGCCATCTTCCAAACTTTAATGTGCATCTTTCATCATTTCATAAGAAGAGCTAGTTCTCCTTCAGTTTTCAGTGTATTGAGTGTGGAAAAGGAGATGTTTTCCTGCAACTAAAACATGCACCCTGAGCTTTTTATTGGCATCCGACAACATATAGCACGAATCTTGGACTGATGATTGTGTATTATGGAAGCTTCAATTTCAACTGTGGATTTCGATTCTTTGCAGGCTTATTCTCCTTTGGGATCTCCAGGGTCATGGGTCAAGGGGGAGATCCTGAAGGAGCCAGTTTTGGTTGAAATTGCAAAGAAACTCAATAAATCGCCTGCCCAAGTAGCTCTGCGCTGGGGGATTCAGATGGGGCACAGCGTCCTCCCTAAAAGTGTAAACGCATCCAGGATTAGAGAGAACTTCGATTTGTTCAGTTGGAGCATCCCTCCTGAGCTCTTTGCAAAATTCTCTGGACTCCACCAGGTATATACGTCACCTCTCCATACTCTTGTTGGATCTTCTTTCTTGATGCATGTATTCATTTGACCTTGCACATTTGTGATACAGCAAAGGCTTCTCCAAGGGAACTTTGCAGTCCATGAAACATGCAGTCCTTATAAAAGCCTGAATGATTTGTGGGATGGCGAAATATGAGAGCAGTTAGGTTTCCCTTGGTACGACGCCGCTGAAGAGGGAAATAATTGCTCTGTTTCTTTTTCTTTTTTCAAAAGCATATAGACCTTCAGATGAATGTTAGCATTTTGAAAAGATCATGTTTTCCATTGTTTTGGAACTTCTGATCAGGATAAACATCAGTCTAGGTTTGCTACCTACAATTTGGCTTTGCTAGTAGTGAACTTAGGCTTGTCATGGTGAATCAATCGCCGAATAGTAAAATCTTTAACATTTGCTCAGACTTGTTTCCATCCGTCTGGTCCGTCTACTGTTGCATAGGTCGATCCTAAATTACAATTTGATTGATAACATGTTGCCTCTTGATTGAATAGGAGATGATGCAAACTGATGGTATAGAGTTCTTCTAACTCCCTTTCAACACCCTGAATCTGATATATATAGATTAGAAGGGCATGCAAATGATCCCTCACTAGGAACCAATCCCCACGTAACGATCGTAAACTAAGCTTATTTTTGTCATAACTCTTGCATAACGTCTCATTGAGCATAAACTCTTAGAAATGTGTTACGACACTTTATACAGGAATTACGATAAAGATGAACTTGGGATACTTTGATTACAATGGGTGATTGGTCGCATGAGGGACCATAGCCGGGGCCTAAATTAGAATCTTGAATAGTGAATACTACGAATGGAGGCCTCTTTTGGAGTTTAGATTGCTGGTTTCTGAAAACTCTTGTTTGTTTGTTCATTTTCTGTTTATGTCATTAATGAATCATCAGAAAAGTTGAAACGGCTGAAGCTGTTGCAACAAGGAGGAGCTACTTTTCCAACATTTTGCAGCAATACTATTACGAAGTTCACATTCTCAGGATATACTTTGACGTGCTCTTTCTCTAGGAAAAGCTTTTTCGGCCCCTTTCTTCACCAGATCTAACAAATTAATCACAAAAAAAGAATGTCGGCAAACATGAGTGTCCTAATTGTAAGATCCCCAACCGTAGTGCAAAGAACATAACCAGAAACAGAGGAGTTCTGCTGCCAAGTCCTGTTGTCAGTTTTCTTATGTTTTACAGAAGCTAATTATTCTGGGTTTAACCAATCACATGAAACAACTCACGGGAGAAGGATTGCACTCTACATATTATTTGATTAACAATGGCGACATGAGGTTATCATGTCAAAGAATGAATGAAAATGTAAAGGTACTCTACTTCAACAATGATCCTACACTATTGCAAGTATTAGAAAGAAACTGAAACTGAGAAGAAATTAAGGGTATAACATTCAACAGATCCAACCACATTCCTTGAATCTTCTCAAAATATGTGCCATCAAACTGCACTAGATCCGCCGCCTCCAGCACCGCCGCCTCCGCCACAAGCAGAACTGGCAGCTGCACCGCCACCTCCACCACAAGCAGAACTGGCAGCTAAACCTCCATCTCCTCCTCCAAATATTGTATGTCCATGGGCATGATGCCCGCCTCCGCCGCCACCCCAGCTGCCCCCTCCACCAACTCTTAAACGATAACGACCTCGGAAGATATAACTTATGACAGCAATTACGGCTAAGATAGCCCAAACTATTATCATGATTACCCACGGTTTCATTTTTCTCTGACTAGCTCCAGCACTTTTAATAGCTCGTCTGTTGAGAGAAATCTGCCAGGCCAATGTGCAGATAACGAAACTCGAGGCGCTTCCTAGTTAATCACAGCCTGATGACTGATACTATATATATATATATATGGTGGTCATTGAGGCAACTTTGACCTTTGAATTTTCTCCACTTATCTTGCAAGGCAAAACTAAAACGTGGATATCTACGACAAGCAGCCGAACTTTGTCCAGTATAACACAGGAATAATTGACCATTTCTCGGATTACGTGGGCTCATTCAACGCATTGGGTTGACACGCAACACATTTCATCTGCGGAAGGATATGATAAACACGGTCCTGAATTGCATTATGACCATGTGAGTGGTCAACGTAAAAAATGGCGATCCAAGCTTGGAAAACTACGCAAGACAATCAATTAACCCAAATGGCGAAGCACGATATTCGTTTTTCTTTCTTAACCTTTTGGAACATGTCTCATGCCTTACCATAATTTATTTAACGACTAACCTTGGGACGCATGTGATTCTTTTTTTTTTTCCTGTTATTAGAGGATGTCTATAAGTTATATTAAATTTACGAGGAGCTTTCCAGTTTGAGTGATGCTTTGTAATCTTGAATAGTGAATACAACGAATGGAGGCCTCTTTTGGAGTCGAGACTGCTGGTTTCTGAGTACTCTTGTTTGGTTCTTCATTTTTTATCGTTAAGATTAGTCATCAGAGAAGTAGAATCGGCTAAAGCTGTTGCAATGAGAAGGAGCTACTTCTCCCATATTTTGCTGCGATGCCATTATGAAGCTGACATTATGAGGATCCACTTCGACGAGCTCTTTTCTCTAGGAAAGCTTTGATCGGTCGTCGTCACCAGATCTAATGAATTAATCGCAAAAAAAGAATGTCGGGAAACATGAGTGTCCTAATTGTAAGATCCCCAAACGTAACAGGAGACAAAACAAGAAACAATAGAGTTCTGTAGCTGCCAAGTCCTGTTGTCGGTTTTCCTTACGCTTTACATTAGCTGATTATAATGGGTTTCAACTAATCACATGAAACGACTCCTTGGAGAAGGTTTGCAACTCAACATGTTCTTTCATTAATAGCAGTAACATGAGGCTATCATGTCGATGAACGAATCGAAGCGTAAAGGTACTCTACTTCCCACAATCATCCCGAACGATAGCAAGTATTAGAAGGAAGCCGAAAAAAAGAACAGAATTAAGGGTAGAACATTGAACAGATCCAACCACCTTCTTTCATTCGCCTCAAAATATATGTAATCAAACTGCACTAGCTCCGCCGGTGCCTCCAGTACCGCCGCCTCCGCCACAAGCAGAACTGGCAGCTAAGCCGCCAGTTCGGCTTTTGACGGAGGTGGCGGCTGTGGCATTGGTGGGAGTACTGCTTGTTAGAAATTAAACCAAATTTATAAATGTTGAGGCTATCGATCAATTATCGAGTTGTCGATTCAAGGTTGAAGTTATCGATCGTCGATCGATTACCTCGTTGTCAATATTGATGATTGTTCGGTGTATGAGTTATATAGAGTATTTATTGTAATGTTATTTTCAAAGAGTCTGTTCGTCTTTCTATGTCTTGACTGTTCATGTTTTTAGGTTTAGTTAATGTTTTGTAAATTCTTATGAACCTATCTCCTTAAAATGTTATATACATTTATGAGTCAGTCAAGAGTCATGTATGAAGCATGTAAAAGGCGAGTCTTGTAATTGTTTGTGATAAGCTAAAAACTAGTACGATGAAATAAAGAAAACAAATAAGTCTATCCATCTTCTTCTCCTCTTTGAGATTGTGTGAGTAATGAGTGTTTCACCTTCGAATTTTCTATCAACAAACAATCAGCTTCCTCTTCAATACCCTTTTCTTACCAAAGAAAATTATGGTAATTGCGGAAGCACAACTCTAATATCAATTATTGAGGAAGACACACAATGCTCACTTCAAGAAAACTCTCAGAATATTGGTTGGGACAACTCTCACACACACATTTGTATGCCAAGCACAACTCTCACTTATGGGAGCTAAGCTCGCTCACACACTCTTAAATGAATGCCAAGCTCAAGGCTCCACAAACGAGGGTTCTTGGGTATTTATAGGTTCTTGGAGATTATGCCTCCTAACAAATCTAGATATTTGGAGTAAAATATCTTCCTAAAAGTATCCTAGAAATATCCTATATGTTGTTAGATAATGTCTCCCTAAAAATATCTAGGAATATCTAGTAGCATCTCCCTAAATATTTCTAGAAAAAATATGTCTATAGATATTTCTACTTGTCTCTAGATAATTTTAGAAAAAAAATATCTTCCTAGTCATTTCCACACTCTCCATTAAATATTTTTCAACAAAATATTTAAATATCTATATTTCTAGAAATATCTAGAATTTCTTAGAAAAGAGAGGAGGTGAATTTCTTCGACAGTAAAATTGTGATGCACGAATGTCCCACAGGCAAGAGGACGTGGTATGGTTGACAGGCCAACGTGTTGGGTGAGCCCACGTAATCCTAGAGACTGTCTCGTCAATTTTTCGTGTGTTGTACTTGTTGGGATTTTGGGCCAAAAATCCATAGGGTGAATGAGAAGTGTGTGGGTGAAAGTGTCATAGGGTAGAAGAGAGATGGGAGATGGGTTGAATAGTTGAGCGCCTCACAAATGGGTTTGGGCCTGAGGGCCCACTTTTGTGGAAGAGAGAGGACCTACGTCAAGCTAGGTCGGTCCACCTCCCGCGCGCGCGCCGCCGCCGCCGGCCGGGTCCATCGGTTTTTATTTTTTTCGAACAGACACGTTGTTTAGAATTTATTTATTTATTTATTTATTTTTTGGACAAATAAACATGTATGTTCGTGAGGTTCGGTTCGCGAGAACAGAAAAACTCGCGACTCTTCATTTTTCGTCACTTGAATAAGACCGAACAGTTTAGTTCGGAATATATATATCACTTCGTGGCATTCATTTTTCCTAGACGCACTCTACGCATATTCACTTCATCATTGTCATTTGGTGCGATTGTTCGCAAAATTGCGTTCGTTGGAGTCCTCCCGAATACGTACCGCTTCGGAGGAACGAGATCCGTTCTATCCTCTGGGAGACGATTGTCCAATATCCTCGGGTACTCGATTGAGGGCCAAATTCGTCTTAAGGACACGACGTTAATTCGTTGGGCTCGGATCAACATTACGCTTATTTGGTTGCTGCGCTTTCGAGTTAGTTTTTTCTAACGTTTGATTTTAATTTCTGATATACGAACTTAGCCGACAACAATCTTAAGACGAATTTTGCTTCGGTTCTGTTCGTATATTCTTATGCGTTGTTCATATCAAATATCATATTGCCGTTTCTTTAATTCGAACTTTTGTATAGTTCGTATGTTCCTTGTCATATCGTATAGAATACGATTCTATTTGCACATTACTGTTCGTTAACGAATTTTTGAATATTGTTCATATTAGAAATTTTCAATTCTGTTTGTGAATATGGTATGTGTTTATATTTCAGAAATGGCTTCGACTTCGGTTAATCTGTTCCGAATCACGAGAGAAAAGCCGGAAAAGTTCAATGGTACGGATTTCAAGAGATGGCAACAAAAGATGTTGTTCTATCTCACGACCTTGAACTTGGCTAGATTCCTCAATGAGGATGGTCCTAAATTGGA